AGGGGTTAATTGTGCCCTTTTTTCATGTTAGTCGACGACACCAGGATTCAGTCGACTGATATTGAGTTCACTAATCTGCACAGAAACGGATAATTTTTGGAATAAAGCAGGTGTAAAATGTAACCAAAGATATCTTGCAGTGAGGTAAATGAGAGGCGGAATTTTTATACTCGTTTGGAAAGCTTACATCTAATCCCCTTGGCTCCAAAGGAATTTTATTTCTTCACCTCTAGTTTTGTCTCGGTCACAAGCAAGGAGAGTTTTTGAACGGTCAACCCAAACGTGCGATTTTACCTACGCTCACCACGAACTTTTACAATATGATTTTGATACATTCACAACCAACATATGCTTTTAACGTGTTCACCACCACACATGGTTATTACACGCTCACCACAAACGTCTAGAAGATGGTTTTCACTCGTTTACCAACAACAAAAAAGTTGACTAACATTTCTCTCACTAGAACTCCAGGACTTTTAGAGGAGTGTAGTAACAAAATCATTATAACCTTTTATAGGTTAGGGTTTCACTCAAGCACAACGAAGAACTTGTGCAAACTTGACTGTTGCATCCTTTTCTCGAAACTTGCATTGATTCAATCTTGTAATTCTTCCTTCTTGAGCGTTGGCTTCAGTATATTCCTTCTGCAAAGAATTGTTCGGGATCTACAGGATTATAGCTCCTTTACTTAGATTAATTTGTTTGATCTCGCGCCTTCTCCAGATCTCCTTCTTGATTGTTTCCTAATTATCGTCTTTTTCTAAGTCTATCTCTCGCCATGATCTTCTAGCGAATCATGGAATTTGTTAACTTTGAACTTGGTATCTTTAATTCCTTGTTTGTGTTTTCTAAAATCTTCCATTATTCAACGAACTCCTTCTTTGTGACATTAGTCAAATCTAATAAATTTTCTTTCCTTCTAGGTTTCAATCGTCTTTCCATGCTTTAAGGAATCTTCGCGTGATAATCTTTTCTACTGAGATTTGACCTGAATAAAAAGAAATCTTAGTATGATTTAATCTCCATTAATTTTTGGAAATCTTCCTTCCTTAATCTTGGAAAATAATCTCTTGCAATAACATAATTAGGATTATACTTTTCCATAAATGATATTAGCAATTTTGAACTTCCTTGATTTTAAGATAATTTCCGTCCTTGGTCATGAAAAATAACATCTTTCCATAACAAAGATTGTTGTAGCTTACTCAACATCTTCCTTCTATTAGTTTTTTATCAAGGTATCTTCCATGTTAGAAAATGTCACCAATAAATTTCAATCATATCCTTCATAGGATTTGCATCACGTTGTAAACATCTTTCCTTAATTTTGTAGTAAAACCAGTACCATTCGTCCAAACTTTTAGCAAGTATAAGCAAATTTGAACATCTCTTTTGTTCCGTAACAAGCACTCTTCCCACAGTTTTAGCTGAGACACTATTCCTTGATTTGGACAAAACTCTTTCATATCATCCTTGATTTCATAATTCCTTCAATAATCAAATCTTCATAATTCTACCAGACAATACCTTTTTTCTTATACGTATCTGAATGTTCAATCCAATCAAATCCTTCTCAAACCTATCCAATAACATATTTATACAAGTAAATGATATTTGATCTAAGTTGCTCAGACACAGGTATCTGACACTAGTGTGGATCTAGAGATCGGATCCTTCGAGATGTAAATTCTAAGATTCGGGGATACGGATCCTAGTACGGATACGGGTGCGGGGATCCGGCTAAAAATAATTCAAAAGAAAAAACTAAAAATATGAAAATATCTCTAAATTATGAGAAATTTTGTGGAATACTTACGTATAGCTTGGAAAGTGTGAATTTCTTTTTTATTCTCAAGTTGTAGATAAGTAAATGATTTATTTCCTAGATAAGGTATGCTATTTTCTTCAAACTTACCCTTGTTTTGGTTCTAATTTCAGGAATCAAATTGTATCTTGTCTCGAATTTTTTCGTCTATCGTGGTCAAAGTACCCAAAATCGTTTGATCAGATCCAGTACGGATCCCATACCTACCCTCACATTAGTGTCGTGTCGACACGGGTGAGGCACCTAAACTGCCGTGTCGGAGCAACTTAGTATTTGATTAAAATCTTTTCTTTTTTTGATAAAGAGTATTTGATTAAAATTATATGAAGTTAGAAGTGAGCTTTGACTATATTGGACTGTTATCATCAAAATGAGGTTTCGCCTTGAGATTTAACTAAACCTTAAAACCTTGAGATTTAACTATGAGGTTTCACCAATTGATATTGATGAGCATAGTCAAAGATTAATATTGACTTGATGCGATTTTAATCAAAGGACAGGTTCATCCAACCGAGGAGGATTTGGTTGGATCGAGATTCAGATACATATTGAAGAGAAGATATTATATGGTAAAATTCTGAAAATTTGATTATTGAAGAAATTATGGAATCAAGGAAGATATGAAAAAAACTTGCCCAAATCAAGGATTAGTATATCTGCTCAAAATCGTGGGAAGAATATTAATTTATTATGGAAGGAAGATATCCTATGAAAGAAAAATGATTTGTTAGAATTTAATTACTTATTACAAGTTCAGAAGGAAGGTATTGATATTACTACAAAATTAAGGATAAATAGTTACTATGGATGCTAATCCTGAAAATTTATTGGAAGATTTGCTAACTATGCAAGGAAGATATTAGTGAGCTACTAGAATCTCTGTTATGAGAAGATGTTGTTTTCCTAGATCAATAAGTGAAAAATTCCTAAAATCAAGGAGTTCAAAACTGCTAACATCATTTATGAAAAAATATTCTTACTTTTTTTTTTATGAAGTATGGAAAAATATTCTTTCTACAATCTATGTTATAGAAAGATACTATTTTCCAAAATCAGCGAGGATTTCCTAAAATTAGGGATAATTAAATCATACACCGGGAAAACATTTGAATTCAAGGGAAGTTCAAATCTCAGTAGAAAAAAATGATCTTGTGAAGATTCCTTAAAGCAAGGAAAGACGTTTGAAACCTAAAGGAAGGAGAAATTGTAAAATTTGATTGATGTCACAAAGGAAGGCTTTGAATGGAAGATCTGGAAAGCACAAAACAAGAAATTAGAGATATTGAATTCAAAATTAGCAAAATTCCAAGATCTGCAACAAGAGTTTGCATCATCATGGAAATGTATCGAGATACCACAAATTAGGTGAGTCGGGAGAAGATAATAATGGCGAGAATCAAGAGACAGGCTTAGGAAAAGAGGATAATCAGGAAGCAATCAAGATCAAACAACTTATTCCAAGAAAATAGTGTAGATTCAAAAAGAATCTCTGCATAAGGAGATAAGCTTGCTGATTGAAGTACCGCCTAAGAAAATCTACTGAAGCAACATTCAAGAATTCAGGAAGGGGCAGAAAGCATAAAGACCTTTTCCTTCACTTCATTCTTCAAGAACATGGCGCATGGTCAAACATGATGCTTACTTGATGAGCATAGTTAAGTAGTAAAGTTACGCCTTTGTTATCAGCTATAGTTTTTGAAATGACGGTAAGCATTTGATCCTAACCTAGGAACAACATGCTGCGTGTGGCAGGGCCTTTTTTTTGGGGAGGGGGGAATTGTTGGTTAACACCAGTGATGGGTCAGGAACGGCCCGGGGCATAGTTATGGTGGAACATATCGCTTGTTTGATGGTTTGGTTAAAAAATAAAGTTACGTCCTTACTATCATCTATAGCTTTTAGCATGATGATAAGCCTTTGATCTTAAGCATACAAACCTCTTAAAAGAACCACCATCCACGAGCACCTGGTAGAGTTACAAATCCATTGACAAATTTATCTTCTGACCCTGGCATGATAATCTACCATACTAAAGTAATTGAAATTCATAAAACTAGAAATACATGTCATATAATGTCAAAGTACCAATGTGCATACCAACCAACTCATCTTTGCAACTTAGAGAAACAAATAAAATTGTTGTATTATGGATTAACACGATTTAGCAATACGACAATGAGGAAAGTAATAAAAAAACATACCTTTGCTTTGCTAATGAACATCCCGGAACTAGTCCTAACCTCACTGAGCTTACTTTCCCCAGACTCATTATCTGCCACAGCCGATCTTTTCAACTCCTTCTTCGCCTACACCACAATTGACAAATCAGCTTCCAAACACAAACAGATCTCAACAAATTGATCCAACCAATACATTCTCCAAAAAGTAAAATCTAAATTAACACTTACAAGAGATACCAAATGATTGCATTCTTCATCCGTAAGGAAACCTTCATACACAAAAGCTCTGCGAACAGTCACAAATAGTAAGCTCCATAAGGCACAACAGCACGACATAAACACTTCAAAAACTTGACTTTTATCCCAATAATAATATTTCGACTTTATAAGCTTAGAAACCGTAAAATAGTGAAATACACATAGCTGAATCAGGGAAACATTACGCAACCAAAAATTTACAAAATTGACCTTTTTTCAGCAATATTGCATTTTTCTTAGCTAAACGTAAAGCTAAATCGGTGAAACACTAGTACATTCCAGAAAAAGAAAAACTTATAATTTGACTTTTCTTCCCATAATATCAAAGTTTTCTTAGCTCCAAGACCGGAAAACAAACACTAAAAAAGAAACAGATTTTTTTATTTTTTTCTCAATAATTGCATTTTTATCTCCTTTTAGCTAGGAAAACAGTGAAATACCTAGGTTTCCATGAAATTTGCTTGACTTTAGAGGGATTGATGATGGCGGAGCATGATGATTTAGTGACGAACGCGGCGGCGATCAAGATGAAGAAGAAGAAACTGGCGATCTGCGAAAAGTTAATCATAGTGTGGAATTTTCTCGGGAAAATGTAAGTATCCAACTTTGAATCCAATTCGCGTGAACTGTCACTTGAACATTCAGCACATGAGTTAGAGGGCATTTGGATTGCCTTATAAAAACTAGTTTTTAATTAAAAATCAAAAATACCAATTTTTGGCTTATGACTTATTTTTATATTTTTAATGCCTAAAAATAAGTGCTTGTAACACTTTTTATCGTTGTCAAATACCACACAAATTAAAAAAATGCTTAAAAGCCAATAAACACTTAAAATAAGTCAATCCAAACACCCTCTTAGTCGGTTTTATGTACTACTTCTTATAGTTGGGTCCTATTTTTTATTAATGAAAAATACCTGCTACATTTTTTTTTTGATTTGCAGCTCCGGTTTGGCCATATATTATGGCTTCATTTTTTCAAAAACAATTTTAAAAATATTACTTATTTGTTTATAAAAAAATTTCAAATTCCCAAGGATAGTTTTTGGTAGAAAAAAAAAATTTAATTCACATAACTTCAACCTTTCTTCAAATAAAATACATGTCCAAGCATAATTTAAATTTTTAAAAATTATTTTTCTAACACAACTTCAAAAACTCTTCTTTTCTTTTTTTAAGTTTCAATCAAATCTATGTCCAAACGCTAGCCAAATAACTTTGTCTACAAAAATTTAGATATAAGAAAAATATTACTTAATATTTTACATTTTTCCTTTTATTATGACTCCTCCTTCAGATTAATTATACGAACCTCCTTTGGAATTTTGGCCTAATTACAAAATTGGTCTTCGAAAAAGTAGTGAACTGAAGTAAAATGTTATACATGATGATTTTCGTTTTTCTAGAAAAATATTTTATGGATCATATAACTATATATATAAATGGCAAAAAACGTGTCATAGGTTAAACTGGGTATAAAAGAAAATTTGTTTATATAACTTAAAATCCTTCCAAATAACAACAAGATGTATCATCCCTCGTATTTTTATTTTGTTTTTTTTGCTTAATATCTACCCTCGATTTTGCTTTTATTTGGAGACTTCACTCTTATTTCAAGCATGGGTGGCTCAAGAGTCAAGAGGAAGGTTAGTAAAGCATTTGCTTTAGGCCCCCTAAATTTTGGGATCTCAAGAATATTTTTAATTTTGAATTTTCTATTTTATTTTTGTTTAGACAATATTGAAGTTTATACAAACTTCTTATAAAAGTAGAAATAAAGACTGTCTATTTTTTAACAATAGAAATATTTTAGAACTTTGAATTCAAATCTTCATATTGGTAAATAATATTTTCATAATAAGATTCATGGTAACACATTATAAATACATGACTAATATATTAATAACTTGAATTTTCTTACCAATATAAATATTAGTACTACGTATTATATTTTGTAAGATAACTAAATTATAGACAAAAAGAAAGAAAAAAACCAAAGTAAATATTAGTATTACATTTTGTAAGATAACTACAGTATAAACAAAAGAAAAAAGAAGAAAAAAAAAGAAATGCCACTTATTAAAATTTGGCTTTAAGCCACAAATTTTATTGAGACGTGCTTGATTTCAAGAACCCTCCATTTTAATGGTTTGTTTAGTTTTGAATTTGAATAAACCATGAAGTGTGAACTCTTGGGTCATCCAGTTCATTTGGAACCACAGTGCTAGAGAAAAGACATCAAGAATAAAGCAAATATGAAAAATAAAATAGCAAAATATGTATTTGAAAATCTTCAAAGAGCATTCAATCACAACTCATTAGACAATAATCTGCAATTTCTGACAAAAAGAATGTACTATGCATATTTATTTGCTGGCCATGTCAAACTCAAGTACATGCAACCTAGTTTATAACATTTCACCTACATATATCTAGAGTTCAGAATTCTATGTATCCATTGAATTCCGTTTCAAAATCTAGCAAGTTGATAAGTTGTGGAGGTATTTAAACAAAAATGGCATCAAATAGAGATGAATCTGAATATGCACCCTAGAGATGTTAGCATATCTTTCTTCTTCAACATAGTTGTCGAACATTCACTGACAAAAGCTGCTACGCTTGTCAAAACTTCAAACTGTTGAAGCATTACACTTCTTGTTTTGATTTCTTATCCCAGTTTCGGTTGTCAAATTCCGACATAACTGGTATAGAACTTTTAATCACCTAATAATGCTTGCTTTGAATTCCAATAGCTCTATGGTGCAGACATCAACTACAGAGGGCTCAATCGCATAAAAAGATCCTCACTGCTAAGAAGGTCTAGTTCTAGATGATTTTACTTGTTTGGATTATCTGTAAACTTTTGTCAGGGAGACTCAAGTAGCGCATCCAGTTCTATGGCACATCTTCGCTTGAGGGGAGGCCATCTTTTGAACTTTTTCTTGCTCTGTAGAATACCGTCATCACCAATTAACATTTGCTCAACCTGCATGTTAATATCAAAGATGAAAAATAGAATACATAGGCTTCTCTTATGCTTTTGTTGATGTTAAAAGATATAGCACGAAGTCTTCTTCATATAAGCTTAACATTTCCAACCACACTTAAAAGAAGCTTTATGTACAGAGAAGTTCCTTTTGAGTAATAGTGTTTATATGATATAACTGCTAACCATTTGTAGTATAGTTCATATAACAGACTTGCCATTGGCCTAGGGTGAGAATAAATGGAACAAACAATCAAAGCTTATCACCCTACATCCCCAGAAAAAAGCACAATATATCATGGCTTTGAGTATAGCACGAGGAGATTACCTTGCCTCTCCCAATAAAGTTTTCTTAATCATTTAAATATTGTCTTCGGTTGAAGCAACTGTCTTTGTCAACATGCAAGAATTAGGAAAATGTTTTACATTGTGATTCTTATGTCCATCATTTTCTTTTGAATGATTATAATCAACACTTTCCTAATCAATAAAATTTTGAACATTCTGATTGTTCCATCATGCATTAGCTCCTAGAATTAGAAGAAGCGTGAATATGGAAGATACCAGAAGATGGCAAAATTTGCAGCAAAAATCCCATGCTCTTCTTTTAAATGGTTATATTATCAACATTTATGTTACTATGATAATATTAGTGTTGGCTATTCTCCGACTAAAATTAATGTTACTTGCCTGGCTCATTGAAGGCCGATCTGCTGAATCTTGTTGTATGCATAATGAGGCAACCATAAGAATCTGATTAAGTTGTTCTGAGTCATAGGCATCTCCGAGTGATGGATCAACTATCTCATTATGTTTCTTGCCGAGAAGTAAAGGTTTAGCCTGTAAAGTTATTTGGTTACAGTTTATCCTACCACTCTGATTGATACTTGAAACAATAGCCAATTTGTATTACTACGTCTACAGTTGATTAAATGAAGGGGACTTGAGATGATTACATACCCACATCACAACACTATTGCGAGATTCATCCAAAGCTGGACGTCCGGAAATGAGCTCCAACAGTAACACACCAAAAGCATAGACATCAGTTTTTTCATCCACAATGCCATGCATAAAGAACTCAGGAGGGAGGTAACTGCCATGAACATGTAAGATGAAAGTTACCACAAGGGATCCTTATCACATATTTACAATAGGTAAAAAGCTTAGGTTCCCACAAACCCAAAGGTGCCTTCAAACTGCGATACAGTGAGGTGAGTCCACTTATCAGGGAGCCATTTTGCAAGTCCAAAGTCAGATATCTACAGAAAATCAAAAGATGAGCAACAAAAAATCCTGCAATTTAATGTGAACAAAATAGAAACACAGCAACCTTGTAGAACTTGTGACTCCAAATTTCTAGACACGAATCAGTAATTAGTAATCTGTAAATAAACTGCATTGAGTTTTATCCCTAAAGTAATAAGAGCCATCGAGTTCGGACACTTGAAGAAAACTTCATGTTGGTAACAAGTAATAAAACACATAGTTGAAATTATGTATTATATGCAGGTACTATGAAAGATAACATTCCGAAAACATAGAAATGAATTTAATTGCATGTCGATAAAGCCACTTCGAAACACCACATATTTTCATCGTGTGATGACCAGTACAAAGAAATACCTGAGCCTCGAAATCTTCTGTCAACAATACATTAGCAGCCTTTATATCTCTGTGGATAATCCTCCTCTGGCACCCCTCATGAAGATATGCAAGGCCTGCTGCTGCGCCCAGAGCAATATTATACCTTATGTGCCAAGTCAATTTACCCCTCTCACCTGAAAATGTAAAATACATAATAAAAGAAAGTAAGTTAAAAATCTACATAAGGTGTAATTTCATAAAAAGAAGATTAGGGAACATACCATTAAGCATATTAGCTAAGCTCCCATGAGGAGACAAAGGAAGAACAAGGTGCATCCCACCTTCAACTCCATATCCAATTACATTGGCAATGTTTGGATGTTTGACATGTACTAAAATTCCTAGCTCAGATAAGTAGTCAGATGTCATTTCCTCTTGAGATCCTCTCGTCAACCTTTTTACTGCCACAGGTTGGCCATCTTTGAGATGTCCCTTGTATACTTCAGAATAACCTCCCTCACCAATCAAATTCTCTTCACAAATGACAATAAAAGATTAGGCATCACAATGTGGTTCTACAACAATAGTAGGAGCAATTATAAAGAAAAAGCCAGAATACATATAGAAAGCGTTACCAGGGCTAAAGTTGTCGGTAGCTTGCTGAAGTTCTGAGAGGGAGAAATTCTTCCAGTTAGCTTCAAAGCAGTATTGCAAATCAACATCTAGATTAGGAGCAGGCAACATTGGCATGCTCCGCCGTGCACTCCTACTTTTTCTTTTGGATAACATCTTTAAAGAAGGTAGTGAAGGTAGGGAAGGCATGTTAGGATGGAACGTATGCAAATGTATGGATGGCCCTTTCTTTAGTCTTTTAATAAATCCTTGCCAACCATCAGAATCTGAAGTGCTAGGCTTGGAAGTTGTTGACTCAGACTCTGTCTGATCCTCGGGAGCTTCTCTTATCGACTCCTCATATACTTTATCCTCCTCAATTACTTCTCTAGTAGAATCTTCATCCATATGATCTTCTCCCATGCTTAGACTTCGAAACTCTAGCATAAAATGATAAAAAGATTTATATACGGAAGAGATAAACTGATGGAGTA